GAGTCTGGGGTCCAGACAGATGGAGCTTTTTGGAGGGTCAAGGGGAATAGGATTGGAAACGGAACTCAATAAATGCTAATTGCCTCTCCATTTCCCTTCACTTAAAAAGACAGGCGAGCCAATCAGTTTGAGAACCAGGTCTGGGCACCTGGTCCAGAGCCAGTGGTGGCCCGGGGAGCAGGGGCCATGGGCCCACTCAGACCAGAGCTGGACTCTGGCTCCACCAGGCCCTGGCTCTGGGGTCTGTGCTCCTGGTCAACTTCGCTGAGCCTCTGATTCCTTATCACTGTAGAATCCACAGTGACCTTGGTAATCAGAACTCACCTCCTGCCAGACGCCAGCCCCATCCTTAATCTCATTTAATCCTCCCCTCGACCTTTCCAGGTGGGGACTGCTATTGTTCTCATACTGCAGATAAGTTCCTGGAGGGTAAGCAGCTAGCCCAAGATGAAATGGCTAGTAAGAGATCTGATTCTCAAGGCCTCTTGGGCAAGACTGGTGTGTATTAATTCAGATGACCTGCGAGAAGCCTGGACACAGTGAGCGCTTGATAAGGCTCGTCTTCCTCCGCCCTGGACGCCCGGGGAGGGGCCCAGGTGTGTGGACACCTGGGATGACGGATGATGATGGTGAGGGGCAGAGGGCACGGGCTGTTCCAAGGAAAAAGATTCAAGTGCTCCCCTCTCTAACCAACTTTAAGCTGCTTTGTTTTGTGAACACCCGAAATCACCTGCCACAGCTGGCACCGAGCTGATCGAGGTGTCTCTGACCGGATTTCTTCCCGGAACACAGCACCCTGGGTTTGTCGACGGCGTGGGGCGGCCTGGGGCTCACTGCTTAGCACCTGGCGCCCTCTAGTGGCGTAGGGGAGCCTTTCCCCTGCAGCTGGGCAGTGGGGCACCTCCAGGGCAGAGCTGAGCTTCCAGGACCAGCTTTCTGGCGGCCTGCCCTGTGGGAACGTTTTCAGGAGCTACCTGCTGTCCGTGAGAGGGAGGGAAACTGGAAAGAAGACTTGGAATCCGAAGGCTGGGTCCTGGCCCCTGCTCCCGAGTTGCCTGAGATAAGTATCAGATGCAGCTGCTCATACCCTCCCCACCTGTTTCCAGGATGGCTGAGAATCGCATCGGATGTGATGAGTGACAGCATCTTCTCAGTTCAAAAGTGCTACTAAAGGGCAGAATATTATGTTCATGAGAAAATAAACAACAGAGTATGGTTCAGGATGTTAACGGTCCATGAAGGGCTGGGAGTGGGGCGGAGCTGGGGAGACAGGCCCAGGGGAAGGGAAGGCATCCCCAGGAGACGGTGGGTGAGCAAGACCATGGAGGGCAGGGGCTTCAGCGACTCACACGTGTCTGTTTAGGGCAAAGGGAGCCTGATGGGGAGATGTGGGCAATGGTGTTGGAAACGGAAGTCCATAAATGCTCATTTCTTGTTCTTTTTTTCTCAATTCAGGAGGCAGGGAGGAATGACGGTTTTATTAGCTTCTATAAATCAGAAACCATTGAAATGTCTTCTTCTCTGAGTGGGTTTCCCAGTGACTTGGGACTCTCACAACGAGGTCCCTACACCCACCGAAGGTGGTAAGGAGGCCGGTCCTGACCCCACTCTGCTTTGGGTCTCCTTCTCAGCCACCTGCCACGTCCCCTCCCTCCTCACGGGTCTTTCCTTGTGCTCCAGCACGAGGGCCCCTCAGGTAAAGCGGCGAGGGCGGCAGAGCCCGAGGCAGGACAGCTTCAGAAAATGGGTCTTGGCCTGTGTCCCCATCAATAAACAACAGAAACAGTAACTACATCATAATTATTCAATGAAAGACTAAATGAGACTATGTATCTTGCACACAAAATATCAGGCCTGGCACTTGGGAAGAAAACACATGTTCATTTTTTGAGGCAGTTTCTGTGTTTTAAGTTATATATGAGGAGCTGCTTCACAAGGAACATGGGCCCCGGCTTCCCATCTCAGAAAAGCCGACACCGTGCCGGGTGTCGTGTTGCAGAAAGGGGAGGGACTGTGTCAGGGCAACACTGTCACCTGCTGAGGTCCCACCAGGCTGCGCTGTGACTCAGGCCTAGAACAGAGAGGAGAGAGCACAGTCAGGCTCTCTAGTGTCCCCCCAAGCGTTGCTTAGTAACGGTCACCTAGGAACACGGATGAAGCAGGGTGTGTTTACACTCCCACAGGGCCAGTGGGGAGTAGTGGCCTACTTAGTGCAGTCAGCAATCTCAAGTAAAATAAAAACATCACATGAGGCGTCACCTTAATCCCACTCCTCCAAAGTAACTATTGTTCACAATTGGGACAGAGGTTTTGGGGTTCTGAGAGAAGCCAGTTATGCAATGGGGGCTGAGGCCTGCTTTAGGCCCAGCCACCCCCAGGAGCCCTGAGGGAGGGAGCTGGGGCAGGGGGTTGGTTAGATCCCTTGCTTACTCTCACGCCTCTCTTCCAAGCTGCTTTTCCTCTGCTTTCCTGTGTTTTCCTCATCTCTTCTCTGTCCACATCTGTCCTTGGCCCTTGTGCAACTCAGAACAAGAATAGAGTGTTCTGACTAGGGCGCACCCAGGCCTCACAGGGCGCTGGGCACAGAGGGAGCACTCAACACATACTTACAGAAAAAGCCGTGTTAATCTCGAACGCCAGATCTTACTCCTAAAACGCCTGCAGGGGGCATTCAGGTGCATTCCTGATGGCTCAGGCACCTGGTGAGACCGGAGAACAGCTCTAGAACCTCTGTCCGGGGCCAGACACACTGGGGGCCTCTTGACCTCCTCAGGGTCCCTGGCTCTGACCGCCAGCAGCTCCAGCCCCAGGGTGGGTCAGCCTGATCTGCCCTGTGAGAATGTGGGCAGCTGGGAGGGGCAGCCCCAAGGTTCTGGGGAGAGATGACCAGAACTATTTTCCAGGGCCTGCCTCTCTTCTCCTTCTCCTTGGAGGACTGGGGCCACAGCCACCTTTGGTCAAATCTGTCCCTGACCGTATGTGGTCAAAGCTCAGAGATGAAGACAGTGGGTCCTCGGCAGTTGGGGGTTCGCCCAAGCCAAGTCTACCCTGCACACCAAGGCATAAGCCAGGCCTGGCCATTGGTAGGTTCTCAGTAAATGGATGTTGGATTTAGGCCTGGGAAGGCGGTCCAAGATGTCACCTGGGACAGCTCGCCAGCAGCTCACCAGAGGACAAGATGTGATATCAGAAATGGATTCGAATCCTGGCACCAGTTCCTAGATCAAAACTTGGGCAACTTACTTCGTTTTTTAAAGACTTTATGAAGTGTAATTTACATGCCATAAAATTCACCCACTTTAAGTGTACAGTTCGATGACTATGTACAGTTGGGCAACGTCGTATCAGTACAGTCTTCTTTAAAATCATTTCCATTACTCCAAACAGAAAGGCCATGCTCCTCCCCTCTGCACCCCAGCCTAGGCGACCACTCTGTCTCTGCAGATTTGCATTTTCTAGACATTCCACATAAATGGAATCGTATAATTTGTGGCCTTTCGTGACCAGCTTCTTTCACTTCACATAATGTATTCGAGGTTCAACACGTTGTATCATGTATCAATACTCCCTTTTTATTGCCAAATATTATCCCATCGTGTGGCTATAACACATTTTGTTCATCCACTCACCTGTCGACAGACACTTGGCGTTGTTTCTATTTCCTATTACAAGCGATGTTGCCATGGACGGTCCTGTGCAAGATTTCCATGGACGTTTTTCTCTCCTGGCTCCGTACCCAGAAGTGGAATCTTGGGGTTCTATGGTACTCAATTTAACCTTTTGAGGAACTGCCAGACTGTTTTCAAGTGGCTGCATGTTTTACATCCCCACCAGCAAGACACAACTCCACATTCTCATCAACATTTCTTTTTTTTGACTAAGAGTGGCCATGAAGAGGTATCTCATTGGGTTGAGTTGCATTTCCCTCATAATTAATGATGTTGAGCTTCTTTTCACGTGCTCAGGTGCCATTTGTATATCTTCTTTGGTGATTTGTCTATTCGAATCTTTTCTGGGCAACTTACTTAACCTCTCTGAGCTTTACCTTTTAAATTATACCCAGCTCCTAAAGACAAGAGGTTTTATATAAGGGATTCACAAAGGGCCTGCCACGTAATGGGGGCTTAAAATGACAGTTTTTACTATTGTCACTTTGGCCTCATAGGACTGAGCCCTCCCACGGGTTCTCAGGTTAGGAACTGGAACGATGCTACCTGGACTCAGGAAGAGAAGGCTCTCCCCCTCTCACCCCGGGGGTGAAGGACGAGGGGTCCACTGTGTTCTAGATGTTCTGTTGAACGATTCCCCATGGTCTCATTTCACACCCACCAGAACCATATTTATGGGGGACAAAACCTTGAGGTCACAGAGACCCAGCAACTTGTCCCAGGCTGCCTAGTTGAAAGTGGTAGAAATTAGTTGAACTCAGAGATGACGCTGATGTCAATGGCACAGGGGACATGCGTCAGACACCCCAGCCTGCATGGGGAAACTGCAGGCTCAGTCTGGCTGTGCAGATGGCACACCCAGCCTTGGCTCCTGGGACACAGAAGGGCTGGTGGCTAAGAACGCGGACAGCCCCACCAATGACCAACAGCTCACCTGGGCCAAGTGGCTTATCTCCTTGGGGCCTCAGCATCTTCTATAAAGTGGGGGAGAAGAGATCCTCTCTCGGAGGAAGGAGTCAAGGCTCAGCACGGGGCCTGGGCCGCTCCAAAGCAGTTTCCTCCTTCGTGTCTGGGCTGCTGGCTCACCCCCACCCAGGTGACTTGGTTCTTCTCGGCCATGAGCTCTGGCCAATCTAAGGCATGGCCTGCTGACCCTGGGGCGCAGGTCAGAGCAGAGTGTCACCACACTCTGCCTGGCCTCTTATTTCCGCTCATCCCTACTTCACATGCATAGACAGTGCTCCCCACAGAAGCAGGGGGCACCTAGTCAGGCCTCGAGTTCTCTAGAATGATGGACTTGGGATTAAGCATAAGAAAAGCAGAAAAACAGGGTAATAAAAAAGAAAACTTTATTAAAGCTACTAAACTTAGCAGCACCGATTAACACTTTCTCGATGGTGCACCTATGAAGCAAGACTTAGAGCATAGTCTCATCTCGTGCCATTTCTGATTAACTGTGACAATTCTAAGGTGCTCACTTTCAATTCAAAGAGAAATGCCCTTGTCATGTTTTGTACCTCTCACCTGACGTGGCATCACACTGATCCTGGCTCCAGCTGGAGAATGCTGGTGGAAGGTCCTCCCGAGACCTTCCCGCCTGAGCTGGGCCCCAACAGTGGAGGCAAGCAGGGGCCTCTGGCTTCTAGCATCGATCACCCCTTCAGAGCATCTTCCAATACGGGACGGGAGGGGGAGCGAGAGCTGCTTGGTCTGAACAGGTTTAAGGAGGTTTTGTAACAAGATCTGCCCTCGCCCTACACGGCCCCCTCCGGCGAGGGCCCTGGTCACAGCGGGGACAGAGGCGGCCTCAGTTCTTCTTGTTTCCCAGGGTCGGGCTTCTCGTGAGCAGCTTCCCTGAGTTGTAGGGGGTCAGTGTGGACACTGTGGGGGATTCCAGCTTCACTCTGTCCAGGAGCGTCTTCTTGAGGGCGGCTGGGGAGATCTTTTCTTGGTCAGCCATGGACCGCAGCTCTCTGCAGATGAAGCCCGAGAGGGGTTGAGGGAGGAAGGCAGTAAACTCTGGGGCAGGGCTTCGCGAGGCCTCCCCTTGCCACCCAAAGTTAGAACCCTAGACCAAACACTCCCCCAAGCTTCGCAGCATGCTCTTCAGCTAAGTATGGCTATTACGTAGACATAGAGCAGCACATGGCATCTGTGATCACATGGGACAGTGGAAAGTCACAGGGTTTGAGTCATGGACTTGCAGTTGAATCCTGCCTCCATTGCTTATTAGCTGTCTGACCCTGGGCAAACTGTCTGAGTCTCAACGTCCTCATCTGCAAATCAAAGCCAACCCCAACTATAAGAACTATGATGAGAATTAAATGAAGTAGGGCCCGCAAACCCTTAGCTAAACAAAGTCTAATAAGTCATGGTTAACAGAGCACAGACTCCAAGACTGTGCTGGGACCAAAGATGACAGGTTCTGCAAGAGTGGCTGGCCCAGGCCAGGGACCAGCTGGGCAGAGGAAAGCCACCCACCGTGTTCGGATGCAGGAGGCCTCGACAGCATCGATGAGCAGGGAGCGGAAGCCGCCACTCTCTAGGAAGTGCAGGGCATGGATGGTGGCCCCTCCGGGGGAGCAGACGTTGTCCTTGAGCTGGCCTGGATGCTGCTCCGAGTCCAGCAGCATCTTGGCAGCCCCCTAGGGCAGGGAGTATGAGGAGCAAAGTGCTGTGCACCTTGGGACAGGCTTCTCCACGACACTGTCTCCCCCAACAGTATCCCGGCCTCCCAGCCGCTCCCTGCTCCCAGCTCACTGACCCATAAGAACCCCCAGCCCACACCCTGGTCCAGAACACGCAGGGGGAAGATACTGACCAGCAAGGCCTGGGCCCCCAACCGGACTGCTAGGCGCCGCGGCAGGCCCATCTTCACCCCGCCATCAGCCAGCGCATCCAGTGCCATGAATGCCTGTGGAGACAGTCACTGAGCCCTGAGGCAGCAAAGACACCCCTGAAGGTCTACTCCTTCTGATGACCGGAGCTGGTGCCAAGGATCAGCCTCCCTACCAGTCAACTGCACTCAAGAGGCGGACGACACCCCCAAGCCTGCCTGCCATCCCATCTTGTTCCCCTGGGTCCCCAGAAGATTGAATAAATATATGAGGGCCTCACATAGGCAGGCCCACTGCCGCTGAGCCCTGTGACGGCATCGATCAGGTCCTCCTCCACCTCGGTGCAGAAGCCCACACTGCTCATGAGCTGTTCCAAGAGCTGCCCATCCTCCACCAGGGCATGGGTGCCTGTGGCGTACACCGTGGCACCCTCCCGCACCAGCACAGGTGTGTTGGTCATGCAGCGAATCACCTTGGGGGCCGGCTGAAATGCCATCAGCTTCTAGAGCAAGAGAGAGGGCCAAGTGAGTTGCCAGGGCACAGCTCCCACTAGCACCCACCGCTCCCCTCACAATGAGGCACCAGGGCTGGGACGGGCACCTTCTCCACTGAGCTGATGGTAACACCGGCTGCACAAGAGACTACAATGTGCCTGGGCTGGACATCGGCACCGATCTCATCCAGAATGAAGGGGATGATGTGTGGCTTCACGGCCAGAAACAGGACGTCGCTGTTCCTCACTGTCTCCTTGTTGCTCCGGGTCAGGTTCACCCCCATCTTCTGCAGGAGGAGACTCCCAGCTGACAGTGCAGCCTCGCCAGGCCCAGACCCTCCCACGGAGCAGCGAACCCCTGTCGGGTCCACTCTCCCAGCTGCAGCCTGGAATTCCCTGCCCTGTCCTCTCAGAACCTGCCCCTCGCCCCACTGACACAGTTTTCCAGTGTTGCTACTGGGCAAGTGAGCACAGGTGCTGGGCATGGACGAGCTTCTCCATGGCAACCAGGAAATGGCTGTCCCACATCCCCACCACTCTGGCAGCCAAGGCACAGCTCTGCCAGGTAAAGAGGCTCCATGGCTGGAAAGTGGCAAAAGGGAAGGAGAAATGCTAGCACCCAATAGTCGGAAGCAAAGCTGCATCGGGCTCTATCCCAACCCCAGACACTTGTTCATCAACCAGCATGGTCTCTGTGCGGTCCAGGGCCGGGCTGATGGATACCTGTCCCTCTAGGACTCCAAACTGAAAAGCAGGGGGCCTCCAGTGCTAGGAACATCGGCCATCCTAGACGCAGACACTGCCTGTCACCTGCCTCATTAAACATTCCCTCCCACACCACCGCTGACCACCACAGGGGCACAGTACATCAGGCCATCCTTCTCCTGGGTCTCCACACTCTTCCCCCACCTACCCTGAGTGCGGACACCGTGGGCAGGTCCATTTCCGGCGAGCTGGCTATTATCTTGTGAGCCGACAGGATGCCTGCAGCATACAGGGCTTTTCAACGGAGATCACGGCCACCCAGTCCCCATGCTCTCCCTGGGAAATCAGAATCAAAACCCACCACCTCTAACAGCCCTCAATCCCTTACACCAACAAAACGCTCTCTTGCTGCTTAACAGGCCTCCCCCACCAGACGCAGATAACCCCTTTCTTCATGCATGCGTAGGTGGAGGCGGTTCACAGTCCAGGCCCGGGGACGCCCGCGCATCCGCCTCCCGCCTCCACGCGCTTACCTGCGGCCGTGAAGCCGCGCGCCAGGGCACAGGCCAGCTGGCCCGCGCCGATGAAGCCCACGCTCATGGTCCTGGGCTCGGCGTCTACCCGGCAGCCGCAGAAATCCCGGGCTCGGACGTACGCTAGGGAGAGGGCGGAGGGGACAAGGGCCCAGCGTTCGGGGGGCGCGCCCTGAATGCAAGATTCAGGGGGCTTCCACCTGCTTCCGGCCGGGGGTCCCGCGACCTCTCAGCAGAGCCTCACACGGCCCCGCCCCTCCCAGGCGGCCAATCCGAGGCTGGGTCGGGGCTCTGCGCCCGCCTCCTGCGCACGGGATTGGCGGGCGGAACGTCGGCGCGACTCCCGGAAGCCCGGATGTATGCCTCGCGTGCGTCCGGCCTCGCCGGCCCGGGACCTCAGTCCCGACCAGGGGGTCGGAATTGTCGTCCCGACACCCTCGGGGCTGACGGTTGAGGCCGAACTGAGGGCTGGCTAATATTATTTTTGGCACCGGCCATCAGCTGCAGGTCGTGGGCCAGAGAAGTTCTCCAGGTTGCGGATTTGAGGCGACGAACGTTCAGACAGGATCGTGGAGACCTGTGAGCTCCGAGCCGGACGTCTCGGTACGCCCCGGGATTTCCGCTTGCTCCTCCGGGCCCAAGCGGGGAGGCGACGGGGGCAGCCCCGGTTATTCACTTGAACTTGCATAGATCGCGCGAATTGGTCTTAAGTATATTGCAAATAGCGTCAGGTCTGTTTAGGAAATGATCGGCTCGCTAGGGCCTAGCTAAGGTATAGGGAGAGACAGCTTCCCTACTGTCTCTCTACCAGTTTTTCTAGTCCTTTCCGTATAATTCATACTCCCACCCCCAGCGGGGGGCTGCTTTCTGCGATTTTCCTGTAGCTAATCACTGTTGCACAAGTCCCCAGGCCTCCAGTTTCTGCTCCCTTAAAAGTGAGGACCAAATATTTTGTGACTTCTTCTGATTAGAAAAGTAATGCATGCATATTACGGAAAATTTGGAAAATACAAGAAAAAATAAAGTCGAAATTACCCATAATCATACTTCCTAAGGATAGTTTCTTATAAACATCTTTGGTGTGTTTCCTTACATTATTATTTTAATGCATATATACTTTTTCCATCATTGGAAATAAATGATGTACATGTAGTTTTGAAATTTCTATACTAGATATATAATAAGCATTTTCCAATGTCACTGAAGAGTTATTTAAAACAAGATTTTAGTGACTACCTAGCATTCCATTACATGGAACCTTGGTTCCATTATCGAACCAAGTCCTGGGGATACAGCCATGAACAAAACACACAAAAATCTGTGTGTATGTGGCGGGGGTTGGAGTGTGGAGAACAATGGCGTCTCACTCCTGTCAGACCCGTTATATACATCCATCCCTTTCGTGGTTGCCTTGGTGATCTCCTGCTTCAGCTTCCAGGAGTAGAGGTGAAATATGAAGAAAACCACAAGGGCTTCGGAAAGGAGGCCATGCGGGTGACTCCAGTGCCGGCTTGATCCCGAGCCAGGGCAGCCCACACAAGGGAGGGGACTGCCAAGGCCCTTGGTCTTCCTGACTAAGCTTGGACATGTGAGCCACTGGCCAGAAACTGGTTATTTTACTTTGAGAGCTATTATTTTTTCATCTCTAGTATTTAAAGTTTATGTTACAAAGTTGTATTATATACTTTAATGGTAGGCCATCCCATGTCATCCTCTTGCAATGACTTTGCTGACTCTAAAGGCCCATTTCATTGGCATCGTGGCCTCTGCCGTGGCTGCCATGGCAATTATATCTGATTTCTTCAGAAATTCCTTTGGACCGAAGTGTTGGATGGATGAGATGGATGAGAAGAGGAAAAGCCCATCCTCCCAACCCAGCCACTTAAAATATGCCCTCAAGGAGGGCTCCAGCCTGGTACTGCCATCCTGCCGTGGACGGATACTCTCCATGTCTGGCACTGTCTCCTTGGTACCCACTGTATATTTTTACTCCATCAGAACAGACAGAGAAGTCAAGAAAGAAAATGGGGATGTTCACTAAGCCTTGGGGGCTGCCCACCTTTACACCCTCCTCCAATCCTCTTACCCACCAGTCAGATGGATTCAGCCCTTCCTGCCCTCTTCCTCACTCCCCTCGTCCTGCCCCCTCGTCCCCTCCAGCTGAGTGGTTCCAGCTCGTTTCTCTGCTCCAGGTCCCAAAGGTCAAAGCAAGGTGTCAGTTGATCTGGGTTCTTACCTGGAGGCTCTGGAGAAGCATCGGCTTCCAGAAGCATTCGTGTTGGCAGAATTGGGTTCCACGTGGCTGTAGGACTGAGGTCCCCTTTCCTTGCTGGCTGTCAGTTGGGAGTTGTTCTCAGCTTCTAGAGGCCACTCACGTTCCCTGGTTCCTGGTCTCCCTCCTCTTCAAACCAGCAGTGGCAGTTCACCTCCTTCTGATACTTCACATCTCTCTGACCTTCCCTTCTGCCTCCTCTCCTGCCTCCAGCCAGAGTAAGTTCTCTGCTTTGAAGGGATCATGTGGTTAGATTGGGTGCACCTGTATAATCCAAGATGCCTTCCCTATTTTAAGGTCTGTAGCCTTAATAACATCTTCAAAGTCCCTTTTCCCATGTAACATAACACAGTCAGAGTTTCCAAGGATTGAGGGGTCATGGACCTCACTGCGGAGAACCTTCTGTCCACCACAGTCTCCCTGTGCTAATGAGCACAGCATCACATTTTGAAATGAAGCCAATATCCTGGATTTTTTGGCTCACCTGGGATGGTGTGAGCAGGCCATCTTTGCCACTGATTGCATGTGATTGGCTGGGAATCCACAGATCTTTTAGAGCCACAGATATGTCACTGAGTAGCTGGTGGAACTCTTCAGATTATCCTTCTGGTAGAGAAAGCAACTGTATGCCCTAGTTCTCAAAACGGCCAAAATGGAAAGGCTTCACTCTGAGGTCTTATGGAGGTGACTTAGCCACTCACAAGTCAGAGCCAAATTCTCTCCCCCCACCTCCAACAATATAATATTCTTGCCATATCCTCAAATCTTGGCTGTCCATAGACTAGCTCCGGTTCCCCCTCCATGATTCAGTGGTTATTAATTAGCTCTGGAGCTAAAAAGAGTGAGTCCATGAACTTCAATGGTCAGGCACAGGGAAACCCAGCTGACTGGGAAAAGTAAGTGGAGCGGAATTACCAGATATGGCAGCTTCCAAATGACAATTTAACCTAATGTCTTGTTTCATCAGCAGAGCGCACATACTGGGGAATGGGGTGGGAAGGAATTTACAACCTATTTTAGGGGGTAGAGCCTCAGCAGACTTGTATTGCCTCAGTCTTGATTTCTTCATCTGAAAAAATGAGATTAATAATACCTACCTCATGGAATAATTGCAAGAATTAAGTGATATAACGTATGAAATTGCGTGGTATAGCTCCCTGGTTCATCGTGAATGCTCGGTAAGTGTTAGCCTGCTCACCACACCGCTGTCGCCCCCTGCCCCGTCTTCATAATCACTACTGCAAGGGTTAAAGTGCTTGCTAAGAGGTAACATATGTGAATGATTGTCTTCAGCACCCTGTAGAAGTTGGGGGTCTTTGGTCACCCCTTTCTTCAGATCATTACATTGCTCTCATCCCCATTGTTGCTCCCTTTACTCCTATGTAAAGGAGGAATTAAATGCAGACATTATTAAATACTAAAAGTTAAATACCGAGACATGGAGAGAAACATCACTTTTATTTCAGCAGATTATCTACATTCAGATTTTTTTTCTACATAATAAGAAAAGAACTTATAAGTACACGTGGTATTAACTGGTGTTGAGTTCTCTAAAACAGTGGGGGAAGTAACTACATGTGCACAGGCAATGCTCGCTCTCGGGAGGAGGGGGTGCGGTTAGGACTGCCCCATCCCCAGGGCAAAGACATCTTAGAGCTGAATCCCACCTCCTCCTTTTGACAAGAACACGGTGGCCCAAAGGCTTCTGCATTTGCTTGAGGTCACAGTGTGGCACCTTGTTATATCCAGAATCCAGGTGACCTGATTTTCTGGCTACTGTCCTGGCCTGAAGCCCTTTAGCCTCCCTCTGAGCAACCTCTCAGGGGATGGGGACGCGGGTATGTTTGCTAAAGTCCAGAACGGGTCAACATCTGAGGGATGGGGCTTCTTTTTCAGACATCCTCCCTCTCTAGGGGAAACAGAGGGAATTTTTGGTTTCATTACATAATTTATCATGTAATGGAGTAAATCAGTTCTGTTTCTCCAGTTCTTATCATAGGGTGCATTGTCCCATATTTGGTTGAGAATTTGCCAGAGAAAAGACGCTCCCAGCCTACAATCTGTCTATGCTCGAGCTCCGACCGCTGACCCGTAGGCTGGGGTTTCCTACTCAGCAACCCCGAGTGGCATTAGTTACTCACGTAAGTGCTTAGGGCGATGACATGAGGACAAGAAATGGAAGAACGCTTGGAAAGGTACAACAGGTGCACTAACCGGGGCAGGGGTCCCTTACTAAGTAGAAAACTACAAGCTACGTTAAGACGGGCTTCGCTGTCCGTGTTCAGGCAGAGGCTGCAGTGGCGACGCCCAGCGCCTACGGCTCCAGCTTCCTTGGCACGGGCGCCCCGTCCGAGGCGCAGCTGCATTTCTGCACCCGCATATTGGGCAGGCTGACCACCTGCGCCCGGGCCCTGCCTCCCTCCTTGACGCTCACGATCATGGGCAGCGAGGTCGTCTCCGAGGCGATGCACTGCCGCGGCCCCAGAAACGGCCACTTGAAGCTCAGAGGCTCGGGGGGCTGCCGGCCCGGGCCC